TAAACCATACTATTAAAAGCTGACAATTTGTGTTGCCAGGTGTGGTTCGATGTGTTCGGAATGTATCTGAACGTGTGTGTGTTTTTCCGATAAATTTCAAAATTTAGTTCCCCCTCTGTTCTTTTAACTAATAAATCCAAAAAAGGCAATTTTCCCTCTATTTCTTGTTCATATGTAAATTTAATCGATGGGTAAAAAGAATTTAAATGTTGTATGAAAACCCCCATATTAAAATCTTTATTTATAACTGCAAAAATATCATCGACATACCTAACCCAAATTTTTGGAAAATCACCATAAGTGTATTTTAAATTTGTTTCAAACCTACTCATGAAAAGTTCTGCTAAAAATGGTGATAGCGGATTTCCCATTGCTGTGCCCTCAGTTTGCTCATAAAATTTATTTTGAAACTGAAAAACATTTTGACTCATACATAACTTTGTTAAATTAATAAGCTCATTTATTTTATCCTGTTCAATGTTTTGGTCCTTTAGCCAGTCTTTAAGAAAATCAATTGTTATATTTATTGGAATATTCGGAAATAAGGCAACTACGTCAAAAGAAATTAACCTGTCATTATTTTGAATGGTATAACTAGATAATTGTTTAACTAAATCAATATTATTTTTAACTGAAAAACTATCGAATTTTTTGAAAGATGAAAATACCCTTACTAGGTGTTTAGCCAAATTGTAAGTCGGAGCATTAATATTCGACACAATAGGTCTCATAGTACTTCCTGGCTTATGTATTTTTGGCAAAGCATATAGTTTAGGTATTTGAGGGTTTGAAATTTTAATGAAAAACCTGAACTTTTCTTCGATTATTAATTTTGAACTATTTATGACGTTTGTAGCCTCCCTTATCATTTTACTTAATGGATTCTTTTTAATTTCTTTATAAGGACCCTCTTGAATCATTCTTGATACTCTTTCATAATAATCTTCTTTTTTTAATATTACAACAGAATTCCCCTTATCTGCCTTTAAATAAAAACAGTTTTTATTTTTTAAGTCTTTTATGAGTCGTGAATGTTTTTCATTTTTTCCTAAACCCCCTTTATTTATAACAGAATTTTTTTGTAGAAAATTTAAACACTCCCTTCTTGCTAAGTCTTGATTATTAAAATCAACACTTTTAACCCCCATTTCAATTCCTACTAGTAGATCTTCCATTGGAAATTTTTTTGGTAAAAAACTTGTTTTAAGACCCAACTTAAGTATTTCAGTTTCTTCAACGGAAAAAACAATGTTTGTGTAATTTTTAACTAAATCGTCCCCCCAGTTTTTAGAAAATGAAACTACCGGACTCTTATTAAAATTATCTATTTGACCCTTATTTTTGTATTCTGAAAGTAAATTTTGAAATTTTTTATTTAACTTTTCTTTTTTTGTTTTAAATTTATGTTCAACCACTTGGTACATCTTCAGCTCGAAGATGTCCCACTGTGATTGACTCAAAAAATTAGAGAGTTTTAAATGTAATTGATAAGCCCCCATTTCTAATCTACTTCTATTGCGATAATGATTTATTATTTCTAACTTAAGAAATTTCTCCTGAGCGAAATTTATTGACTTGTAAAAATTAATATTATTATTGTTTGACTTACTTGGTAATCTGGCAAACTTCGGAGTCATATGGAACTTAATACATTTTTTGAGAAAAAATATATCAGCTCCAATCAGGCGTACTTTCGTCTTGATTTGCATCAGTTTGTTTAACTCTTTATTATGATCAAAAGGCCCGAACGCCATAATTATATAATAAAAATTGATCACTTGTGGCTAATTAATTAAGTAAAATTAAAACTATATTAAAAATATTATTAATTTAAAAAACTAAAAAATATTAAAAATATTAAACTCAAAGCCACAAAAAAATTAATGAAAAGTCGCGGATACGTATTTCGGAAACAATGTTACCAAATTTTAATGGTAATTGATTCATATTAATTACAATGTAACATTAATACAGTTGAAAAATGAATTCTAAATATTGAGATTAAACTTATCTAAATGTAATATTATTTATTACTTTTTAAAACATTAGATAACTTATTAAATATTATTATTCAATATAAAATTCTGTATTGCCATCTGTTACATACATTAAGGATCGGAGAGTTACTTTTTTATTTGATTTAACATTATATTTCTATTGATAGTTAGAATTTATTAGAAGACATTGAAATAATTTTAATAACATTTTAACTTGAATAACACTTTTTCTTTTTTTGGTCATATCTTACAGGATATTATTATAAATTGTTAACCTAACGTGTTCCAACCAATTGCAACCATAAAAAAATTAACTAAAATTAACCAAACATGAGATTAAATTCAATGGTGCACATAAACAATAATTGACACTACAAATAGGGCACACACATATCTGATGAATAAAAGTGAACATACAGTCTATAACATATACTAAGTAATGATATCAGTTAAACATTTTCTCACAATTTGTAGGAAATTTCAAGTCAAATCCTCTTTCTCTACTAAAACCTATTATCCATTAAAAACTGTAATATAATTAATATAATATTAACAATAAAAAAATCTTAACCTAAAAATTAATAACTAGACTGTAAATATTTCCTATATACAGTAGCCAATGGCCATTGTTCCTTAGACTTTATTTGACACCACATACTAATTTTATGTACTTGTAATAAACCAAAAATAAAAAGAAAGAAAAAGAAATATAAAAATAATAGAGAATTAGAGAGAGAATATAAAAAGAAATTGGTAGTACTTAGTAAATTATTATAATCATTATTTATTATAAGTTTTTGTAATTTTAATGTCTTCAATTTTATTTAAATTAATTTTCTCATTAATTGTTTCTCTCATTAATTGTTAATGGTTTATCACGCAATAGATTGTTGGAAGTTCGAAAGCATAGGTTAAATTGTACTTACCTTACGTCCTGTGTAATACAATAATATTTCAAGTAATCCAGTGTTGATTTTTGTATTAAACGCACTACGTATACGATTTACACTATATGTCATATAGTCTATATAATTAATTACAAAGAACGACTCAAGACTTTAAATAATATGATTTAATTACACAAATTCTAAGACTGATCTTACTTGTAAATGATTCCAAACACTCTGTATTTTATTATAAATACTATTTTAATTTTTTTTTACTTATTGATTTTTTATACGTCTGTTAAATAAGTATTTTTTAGAGAGTATATTTTATTGAGAGATCGACACCAATATTTCTTAAATTTTCCTCTGGCCTGGCCAAAACAAGATTCAGAAATATCTTTATCTATGTAAAAAATTTATCAAAGCGGAATTGTGGTGGCCCGATGTGTCCCGGTGCTAAAATAAAGCACCTTAAAAGGATGCGGCACAATAATCACCAAGACAAAAATTAAACACTAAAAATATATTTGTAAGTTTCTTTACGCTGTCTGCCGGCGCGATGTTTATTAAAACAAAGACATTAGTAACGAGACTAGCTACCCAATACGTATAGGCTTACAAATATATTCTAACCTAATATACCTAATTCTTGAATAATATTTACTTGCAACCTTTACTCTGTCTGTCAATTTAAATCTCAATTTAAATTGAGAAGATTGTGACCTTTAGCTCTGTCTGTCGGCCCGATGTTTGTTAAAACAAAGACATTAGTAACGAGACTAGCTACCCAATAAGAAAAGCTCACAATAAATTTTTATGATTAAATAAAAATCTAAAGTTAGGTTGGGTTTATTATTAAAAAAAATGTAATGTTTAAAATATTATTTTATATTTATTTCCACAACAAGAAAAATAAAATATTATTAATGATTGAATAAATTAAAAGATTCACCAAAACAAAACTCAGTTTAAAATTTCTAAGTGTGATTTAGTTTTAAAGAAAAATATTCTAAGTCCAAATTAATTAAAAAATCGACTAAGTCCTGGAGAGTGAAATCTTGAGTAGAGTGTCGTAGATTTTGTGTATTTTAAAATCGTCAAAGAACTGGTTTAGATGGGGAAAATGGCTTTTTATAGTGTGAAGAGGGTAGCCCAGCGATCTCTATCGTGATCCTGGAAGCTGAGGCTTTGTATTATAATTGGTTAATTAAAAGAGGGTTCCTGCGTGTAGACGTTACTTAATAATTTCTACAACAGGGAGATTTTATCGTATAGTTAAAGGGTTATTTTGTATTTTAAATAAGAGAACCCTGTTTTGGTGATCTTGTATAATCATAATATGTGACATACATGAACAAATGATAACATCTTATTATATATTAATATTATATGTAATAATATAATATTACATACTTAATTATCTATAGTTCATAACATTCACATTCAAACTAATTTTTAAGATTCTTTTTTTTTAAAAGATGCCCAACTTATTTTGATACTTATAAAAATGATTAGAGCAAAATTTAGGACACAATCTTTTAAAGTTAACATGTAATCACTTTTATTTTGATGAAATGACCCAAAATCTTTTAAAACATATCTCAATTTGATTTTTTTTTTAAATTGAAAATGTAATTTATATGAATCTTCTATAATTTAAACAGTTATTAACATTATATTGTTAATAAAAATTATAAATGGATCAACCTATGCAAATTTCATAAATTGTATAAATATATTCATTATAATTTAATATAAACTAATTGCGCTTATTATGTCACTTAGAATAATATTATAATAGGGATAAGCTGTCCCTATTCATATATAGTTAAATAATATATAGTTTATTTAATTAATAGTTTTATTTTTGGTCATACAATTTTTACTTAAAGTGTCTATATTTTAATTAATTAGCTGTTTACCTATATTTTATTATCTCATACTTATTTTCTTAAGTAGATTTAACTAATTTAATTATTTTCCCTATGTTAATAAATAGTTAATTATTTTGAACTGAATTATTTTTAATAACAAATAATTATTAATAATTTTGATTGTATTATTTGATTGATGATGCAAAGAAAATATTTTAATATCTTATATTTAACATTTATAGGTATGTTCTGATGGCAAGTGATCCGTCTACAATTATTTCTGTAACTCAAAGTGTTCAACCTAGATATGATAGTTCCTTTAGTGTTTCATTATCAGATGTCAGTTCATCAAATATGTATTTGTATGAATCATATGTACGAAATGGATTGCAAGGGGCACATCAATGTAATGACAATGCTATTCTTGAATACAAAAAATACATTGTTAATATATAGAAAAATTAACATTTTAATTTGCCAATTTTTTTGTTATAATGTAACATATAATTGAGTAATAATATATATATTTATCTTAAATAAAACTTATGTAATATAAAAAATAAAATGTTGATCTGGATTTGTCTTCATGGTGAAAATAGCTGCTGTATTCAAAAATATGGTATTTTTGTGAAAAAATTCTTGATTTTATATTGAATGTTATTAAGCTGTAAGTTGATATAACCTTTTAAAAAATTTTTGGATCAATATTATCATTTTTATGATAATATATATACCTCTTTCATTCGAATACTTTTTTTAAAATTGGACTATTTTCCTTTATACAAGAGATGATCAAAACTTTAAACATGTATATAGAAAGTAGAACTTTTTCAAATTAACTTTTGAAAATGTTGCGAAAATCGGTTTTGTATTTTAGCTTCGATGCAAAGCTGAGAATGTATTAATTTTACCACGATGTGTTCATTTTTTTTTTTTTTTTTTTTTCTGTCACTACTTTT